GCGGGGCTTGGTGAAGTGTCACTGCAGAGAAAACCATAAGGGAAGTGAAGTAACACCAAGGCAAATTCCAGCAAAGCTGGCACTCGACTCTCCAGGGCAACATCCGCTGCCATCCTTCCGCAGGAACTGAGCTAAGTCTTGAGCACCACCATGCTTCCAGTGCTCTAGATGCAGAGCACATCCCTTTGTCAATGCTAACCCAAGCTCCAGCTCTCATAGGTTCTCACTTATTCACAGTGAAATAAAGGACGAGGAATGTGGTTCAGTGGTAGACCGCATGCTGAGCATGTGGGGCCCCGAGCTTCACCCTCAGTAACAGACAACAAAAACCAACCCCCAAACCCAGGAGAGCTAGTGTGGCACAGTCGCTGCTACACCCAGTCTAGCTGGTAGCGTCTCCTACGGTTTACTTTCTGCATGTCTCCTAAAGCCATGTAAAGCCACCAGCCACCTTTCATCCTGGCACTCAGAAGGATGAGGCAGAAGGATAATGAGTTTGTTAACAGCCTGGGCTACAAAACAAAACCCTAGCTAAAAACCAACACCACGCAAGTTTGTGTGTGGTAATCTACATACATATTATCGATATATTGGACTTTTCTTGCTTTGTCGTTTATAAACATGGCTTTCCTCCCTTTCTCCCTTATTTCCATTTTCAGGCTTGGAACACTCAGAGTTTGTAGTCCCTAGTGTTTATTCTCAAGGTTATAGGAATAATATGGTCCCATCTTAGGCTGTGAAGTAGATTGATGCCACTCAAACAATGTCAAGGACAGTAGAATGCCTTCGTAGTTCAACCCCCTTTGCCCAAGCGCACATTGTGGTCTAGCGTTTGATTTCTATCTTGTTTCTAATCATTCTATCCTACCTACCTACATTTATTTATAATTTGCCAACCCTCTGACCGACTTCTTGGCTCACAAGTTCCTTTAGCACCCCACTTCTCTTTGGGGCTCCATTCCATTTCAGCTTACACGGCATCCTTCACTAGAACTTCCGCTGTACCTTAAAAGAACCCTGCCTCTCTTCAAACACTGCCTGGCATGGGGAGTAAGTGGATTCAAAGAGAACAAGCTCACAACTCTCCCTAGAAAAACAAAACCAGCAACAGCTCTGGACAAAAGATGATTTGGAGGGAAATGTATTCTCAACTTCTGAGCAGCAATGATTCAATTTTCTATGATCTTCAAACAGATCTAGATAAGCACGCCCCTTTAGTCTCTGCTTCTAGAACTCTATGACGAAGTGGCTGAGCGCCTCTCCTCGGACCAAATGTCAGCACTCCACCATGCTATGTCCCTTAAGAGCCCGTCAAGCTTGGCTGTTGCCGTCTTTCTTGGTTGCCTTTTTGGTTTTATTTGTTTGAGACAGGGTCTCACAATTACTCTGGCTACCCCAGAATCACTCTGTAGATCAGGCTAGCCTCAAATTTACATACATCCACTTGCCTCTGCCTCCTGAGTGCTGGGATTATAAATCCCCTCAACTGTTTAACACAGGTAAATCAGTGTCAAGTAATAAAAGCAGATATTAAATGGCTCTTTATAGATATCACACTTTCAGGAACTTTCATTTATGCTGCTCAGTTTTTAAAGATCTGCAGATATTCTTAGGATTCAAATGGTTAAAACTGAAGAAATGTCCCAGGGGCCGAGGCAGCAGCTTAGTGAACCATGGCTTACCTAGCATGCATGAGTCTCTCAACTGTGTTCTCAGCACTGAAAACGAATTAATTATCCCATTTGAAAGGGTCTTTACTTACCAATGAATTTAAGGTGACCTAAAAATACATTTAGCAGAGAAGACTGTTAACAGCCATATAAGTTCAATATAAGGCTGTTCAAACGCAGGGGCTACATAAAAGCGGTGCTTACGTGATCAGAACAGAAACGAACAATGCTATGTGGACCCCTACGCATTAAATAGTCACTTGTGAGCTCTAAAGTTAGAATTCAGGCACAAAAAATTTCCCCGCTCTCCCCCTGGGCTCCCATTCAAGCAAAGGCATTCACGGCAGAATGCCAGCCTTGCTTGCTGCCTGTTCAAGGTGCCACATCCAATCCAGCTGGGTTTTTTTGGTTAGCGTTAAACTGGCATCAGCTCCAGAATGTGAATGCATTCAGGTGCTGTGCACCCAACTGCTACCCAAAGTCTGGGTCACAAAACAAGAATTTTCTAGTTGTACCTGTCAGAGACCTACATATCAAAGCTATCAGAGTAGAACACCAAGTCTTTTGGACCTTTGCCTGTAACTCCATGGAATTCTTCCCTTCAGTTTTAGGTCATTAACAGAAGCACACACACAGAAAACCTCATGTACTTGCTAAGATCCCCATCTGGGTGCTCTGATCTGTTCCTTAATATTCATTATTTTAAAACACACAGAGCAAACTGTATGGAACCTTAGACTGTGGTGCTTTTGAAAACCTGGTCACGTGTTCTTCAAAGCTGTTCTAGTCACTAAATGGCTGGGACCCTCGGAAAGTAACCATGTGAAAAAGCCGTACCCTGTTCAGAACCGTTTATGACCAGAAAACCCGGAAGTAACCGAAATGTCTGAAAAAAAATATTTGTGCAAAATACAGCACATATCCCAGAGAGGGTATCAGGTGATCAAAGACTATTAACAAATGCACTGTGGAATTTCAGACAAATAAAGGCATTGTGTGTGTGCATATGCACACGTATACGTGTTTATTTGGGCATGAGTATGTATGTGTATTTGAGGGGGGGTAGTCCTGGAGGAGTCAGTTTCTCTCACAATGCCACACTTTTCTTTGCTGCACTTGCAAATATGTTCGTTTGTGTAACTACCTGATGAATGCTTCTCTCTCCTGGTCCACAACAGGGGCTCCTAGTTTTGTATACCACTGACCACTCAGTCCTAATAGTTGAACAAAGGATGCAAGGTGTAAATGTTGATGAGGGACACAAAGGGTCCTGGTCAAGCTGAATAGCAAACCAAAAAGGGCCCACTGCCATCATTTCCACTTAGAACATGGAAAGGCCGGGAGGGTCAGAAGTAGATGCAGCAGGGACAGCATGCTAAGCAAGATGGGCTCTCTCTGATCTGTAGCTATGCCGGGAGACAGGGTGGAAGTGGGGCAGGTGCCTGGAAGAATTATCAGGAGGGCAGCAACATATTAAGACTTGTATCTGTCTGAATTCTGAGTGGTCGGAGGCCTGATGATACCTAAAAATACTAGGGAAAGGGAAAGGATGTGCCCCTAGAAGATACAAGTGGGGGCCACATGCTGTCAAACCTGGTGACCTGAATTTGATCCTGGGACTCACATGATAAAGAACAAACTCCCTTAACACCCGTTCATACAAACTTTGTGTCACTGCTATTCTGAGCCAGTTTAACTGACAGCAGCCACCATGTCCTTGAGGACACAGGAGAAGAAAAAAATCAAGGGCTAGTGAATGACAGGAAGAGACTGGAATTCTACTACGGTAAATTTTATAATAAGGAGCTTATTGTGTCCGATTCTGAATCAAACGTGCATTCGATTCCCCAGTCCTTGTTAAATAGGAAAACTTCTCCTTCAGTGCACACACAGAGGGCACAAACGCAGTGCCCATTAAGTTTTGCTTTTCAGGCCAGCACAGAGTTCCTTTATATTATTCTTAATCTTGGTACCACTGAGATTTCAACCTAGATCAGTGGTTCTTAACCTGTGGGTCTCAACCCCTTGGGAGTCGAACAACCCTTTCACAGGGGTAGCCTAAGGCCATCAGAAACATACTTACATTACAATTATAACAGTAACAAATTTACAGTTATGAAGTAGCAACAAAAATAAATTTATGGTTGGGGTCACCACAACATGAGGAACTATATTAAAGGGTCACAGCACTAAGAAGGTTGAGAACCACTGGCTGGAACAATTACTTAGAGGCTAAACTGTGCCCCTCCCCGTCATAAATGTAGGAAGTCGTAAGAGCAAGACTAATTACAGAGACTCATTAAGAGGTAAAGTAAAATGAGGTCACAGAAAAGGGTCTGATCCAGCATGAGAGGTGTCCTCACAGGGAGAGATCTGACAGACACGTGTGCAGAGGGAAGACCACGTAAGGACACTCTGAGAAGGCAGCGTCTACGAGCAAAGGAGAAAGGCCTCAGAAGACACCCTACCTATTCTATTGATCTAGTCTTCCAGGCCCTAGAACTGTGAGGAAAAGTCAATGTTCAAGGTGATAAGGCAGGACAGTGTTTGACAGCAGCCCGTGCCCATATGGTAACGCTCCTCCAAACCCCTCAAGTCCTAGTGAGTGAAACCATCTCCCCATTCTGTTCAACTGTCCCTGAGGAACAGACTCCTTCTATTACACTGAGAACTAGTTTTAGAATGGACTGAGTGCGGCCCATTGCTATATTCTAAGTGTTCAGTACAGTGACTGATAGACGGTTACTGTTTGGATCCATGTGCCTGGTTCCCCGACTTGTGTTGTATCTCTCCTCTGCAAACTGCTTTTGCTGCAAATACAATTGTTTCCAACTTAATATAGCAGATTATGTCACTGTAAGTGAAACATGGCTTTCGCTATACCTAATCCTGGTAACTCAGATCACTTATCCTAGAGCAGACCCACCGACAGATTCAGTGAGGGTACTGCTGTCTGTTTCCCAAACTCAGGGAACTCATAAGGAATATCAGGGGTAGAGCCAGTGGGAAAACATTCAACTCTTGCCATAATGAGGAAGCTCTCAGTCCCCTCCCCCCGATACACATTGTCAGAAGCCCCAAAGCACAGCAAAAAGCTAGCGTCAGAGACATTCTCTGGAAAGGAGAAGCCATAAATGGTTTCCCAGCAATAAGGTCACTGTTGTAAACCAGTCATATGTGCGATGCGTGTGAAAGCTTGTGTGTCTGGGCCACACAGTGGCTGAGGGGTCAAGGAGGGCAGGCTGGCTTTGAAATGCCAAACAAAGGCAGGGAAAACTGGGAACTGAAGGCATTTTGAACACAATAACAAATTTTATGACAAATGCAATATAAAGATTTATAGCCTTTATTCAAATACAACATACTATTTCAAGGAAATTACAAATTTTGTATTCATTGGTAAAACCCATTTTTTTTTTTTTTGTTTAACAGCTGGGAGTAAAAGTGTTAGAGATCTCCCTGACCCCAGGGGCTAGCAGTACTACTTTTTAAGTGAAGTGTCACTTCAGAAGAACACACACATGCTTCAGAGTTCCTATGACTGTTACCTTAAATTACATTACCAACTTACCTGCCTTTTTAAAAATTATAAAACTTTGTGACTTTACAATATAATCCTACGCTATGAAAACACAGGTGTGTCTAAAGACAACTTAGGTACTGACCACTACCTGCTGGCGCCCTGGCAACAGGCACTCAGACAAAGAGATTATGATAAAGCATGTTATTCTTACTAGCTTATTACTGTCATGAGGAAGAAAAGAAGTTTTTGCTGGAGCTCGTTCGCCAATAGCAAAAAGTGAAAATGACTTAGAAACATCCTGAAATAGAGTCAAACCGAGCAAACACCCCTGTTGAGGAATGTGTCTGCCGAGCAAAGCTAGTGATTGTGTTTTTAGGGGAGAAATGTTTTAAAAGAAGGAAGCAAATGACCAAGAAGGTCAAGGATCATTTTACAACTTTTCTGTTTTCTTTTCTAGAAAGGCAAAGAAGAATGAAATAATAAATTAACTATTACAATTAGAATTAAACATCGTCACTGGGCATTGCTAAACAAGGCAATAAAACTATATTCTGGTCACTGTATGGAAAAGCTGGCGAAAGCCCATACTAATTCCTATTCCGCTTGTTTCTTGGCTCTGTCTCGGCACTTTCGGTGGCTCTAGTGCGGTGATTCTGTTGTGGGTTTATTTCTCTGTTCTGATCATTTCTGAAAACAAGAAAAGAAATGACATATTAGAAAGCGTGGTCACTGTTCTATGGGAACCCTGGGTACTAAGTCCTCTCACATGCATGACTGCACTAACACCTACAACTGCCCCTCCTCTAGAGACATAGTTATAGTTTGTATTGTCACTGTAATTATCATTCCCACTTTACAAGAACAATGAATTTGCAAAGACCAAAGAAAGAGTCCTTCCCTTGAGTCAAAACCCAGTAGCTTTAAAAAGCTATGTATAGTGATAAACCTGTAGTCCCAGCACTTGGGAGGCAGAAGAAGGAAAATCTGGTTTTGAGAAGGCCTGGTCTACATTGTGAGTTTCAGGCCATCCTGGAAGTAGGCACAAATACTATATCCAGACTAGGACTCAAAAACAAACAGAGCTGGGAAGATGGCTTAGTCACTAAAATCTTGTTTTCAGTTCTATCTTTTGAACCCTGTGGTGATTTGAAAAAGAATGGCCCCCAAAGGCTCATATATTTGAATGCCAAGCATCGGGTAGTGGCACTACTTGAGAATGATTAGAGAGTGTCACCTTGTTGGAGTAGGTGTGGCCTTGTTGGAGGGAAGTATGTCACTGGAGGGGAAGGGATGTTGGAGGTTTCAAAAGCCCAAGCTAGGCTCAATGTTGTCCTTTTCCCATTGCCATCAGATCCAGATGTAGAACTCTCAGCTGCTTCCCCAGCACCAAGTCTGCCTGCGTGCTGCCACGCTTCCAGCCATAACAGACTAAACTGTCAAGTCCCAATTAAATGTGTTCTTTTAAGAGTAGCCATGGCCATGGCATCTCTTCACAGCAACAGAAACCCTAACTAAGACAGACCATCATTAAAAAGCCAAGCACATGGAGTGGACTGTGTTTGTAACCCCAGTACTGGGGATGTAGATATGTGGCTAGATCCGTGGGCTGAGGCTCACTGTCAGCTGGCCTAACTTACCTAGTGAGCTCCTGACCAGTAAGGAGTCTTATCTATTGCTGTCTCCCTCTCTCTCTCTCTCTCTCTCTCTCTCTCTCTCTCTCTCTCTCTCTCTCTCACATACACCCCAAACAAAACCCCAAGATAAAACAAGTCCCTCACACAAATTCCCTGACTTTGGGCAGAGCATCAGGTAACGAAAGAGAAAGAGAGCTGCTGTGTAATCAACTAATCTCAGGAATTCTTCCTTTTTTTTTCTTGATGTTGGTGAATCAAACCCAAGGTCTTGCATGATGTGGGATTCCCCTCTGTATGCTGTGATTACCATTAATAAAGAAACTGCTTTGGGCCTATAGCACAGTTATAGGAGAACAGAGCTAGGTGGAAAAAACTAAACTGAATGCTGGGAGAAAGAAGGCAGAGTCAGGGAGATGCCATGGAACCGCCAGAGGGGAAAGACGCGAGTGACCAGCTGGAACCTTGCTGGTAGGCCACAAGCCTTGTGGTAAAATATAAAATAATAGAAATGGGTTAACCAAAGATATAAGAGCTAGCTAACAATACGCGTAAGTGATTGGCCAAACAGTGATTTAATTAATACTGTTTCTGAGTGATTAATTCGTGGCCCAGGCAGCTGGGAATGAACAAGTGGCCTCATACAACACTCGAACATTCTAAATACAAATTTTCACCATGAATTCTTTGTTTGTTTTGTTGAGACAGAGTCTTATTGTGTAGCTCTGGCTGACCTGAAGCAAACAATGTAGGCCAGAATAGCATGAATTCTTAAGTACAAGGTAGCAGTGTGGGACAAACACATGAGTCACTTGCAAGCCTCATTCCTCCACTGTCAGAAAGAGGAGAGCCTATAGAGATAGTCACTGAGACAGGCAGAAAGCACGGCTGCCTCCGGACATGCATCTCTTCTGTAAAGAGCAGGAACACACTGGTCCCTGGGACTCAGACAAACATCTGAGTCTCTTACGGAAAAATAGGAGCTGAAGATGTCACAGATGCTTTGGCCAATACAGCCAGAACAACCAGGAGAAATCAACTAGGCCAACTCCGGAATCTACTAGCTCAACTCCCTAAATAATGGTCATACAGAAGTAAGCTCTTTTCTAGGCACAAACACTATTCACCTCAGTCCCTGGCATCTTTCACAGTATATTCAGTCTTAGGCTAAAATGGAAGACACAAAAGAAGCAAGAAAGAGACTCCACTGCCATGCACTAAGCAGCTGATGCAGAGGCAGCCCACATACTGGAACCACCAGACCATGGAATTTCAAAATAATTAAAACCAATACATGAAGGTCTCTAATTAAAAAAAAAGGTAGGAAACATCAAGAGAATTTCAGCAGACATAGACATGATATAAACAAATCAAATGGAAACACTGGGAAACCTCTAAGGTATCAGAGAGGAAGTATTTTTTCAAAGGACTATTAAGTGTAAGGAACAGAACTAATAAGTGCCTCAGATGTGTCAGCGGGGGCTGGAGAGATGGCTCAGCGGTTGAAAGAGCTTGCTCCAGAGCGAGAGCAGTAGCTCTTAACCTCCTTTAACTCCAGCTCTGGGGATGCAATGCTCTCTTCACTTGCTCATGCTCACACACACACATACACATATAAATAAGAATCTTTTTAAAAAAAATTCAAATTGAAATACAAAGAAAAAAGTGTGTGGAAACTCGTGCGTGCATGCATGGGCACACATACACATATGACTAGAATTCCTGTAGGAGAAACAGCTGTGGAAATGAATTACACAGCTGTGAGTTTTCTAAAAACAGTGAAAGATATTAAACAAAGACGGAAAGTGGTCAGCCTGCCCCCATTAACAACTAACAAACAGAAAACACGTACATAAATATTCAAAGTACTGCAACTCTTTGGAGGCAGGCAGAGAAAAGGGAACATTCTGTAGAGGTGATGAGTAAGATTTGCAGCAGGCTTCTCACAAGAAACCAGATAGGCCTCACGGTCATGCAGCGATAACTTTAAAATGCCAGAAGGAAAACTGTCAACCCAGAATCCACCCCAAGCAAAACATCTTTCAGAGGTGAAAGCTAAGAAAAGACATCTCAGACAAAAGCTAAGAGGGCTGATGGCTAATACATTTAAGAAACATCATAAGAAACATGATCGCCAGCTGTAAATCTGGACCTATTTAACTTGCATAGGAGTAAATATACAGGACCATGATAGGAAGAAGGAATTGAAAACACTGTTGTTGTTAGGTTTTCATATACCAAGGGACATATGTGAAGGCTCACTGTAATAAATATACATGTCACAAACCCCAGGACAACCACTATTTAAAAAACAAAGGTAAAACTAGTAAGCTAGCCCTGGACATAACACATGCTATTGCCTATTGATTCAAAATGGGTTCAGACAGAAGGAAAGGAAAAGGCATTAGGCAAACAGAAAATGGCTAAAATAGTCATGCATAACCATTACTGGATGGGAGGGGGTGAAGATCAGGTGTATATATATAGAGAGAAATAAGGTAGAGTCAGTGAGAAGCCATGTTGTCCCACTGAGAAGGAAACTTTACCTGGAAAGCCACAGCCATGTGGCGATACACATATTAATGGAGATGGCTAGTTTAGGATGTAAGAGCTAGCTAAAAATACGCTTAAGCTATTGGCCAAACAGTATTGCAAATAATCTAGTTTCTGTGTGGTTATTTTGGTTCTGGGTGGCCAGGAACAAACAAGCAGCCTCCAACAACATAGGTGGTAGGGTGCTTGACCGGATACATTCCAGCACGGCATCGACCAATCACATGAGGCAGGCCTGTAATCCTAGCATGTAGGAAGCAGAAGCAGGAAGTGAGTTCAAGATCATGCTTGACCACAAAGCACATTGAAGACAAACCTGGAAGACACTATAAAAAGTATATGCCAATAATTACATAAATGTAACTGGCCGAACTACCCAAACTAAAGACAGACTACTATTATATCAACAAAAAGTGAAAAAAAAAAATCATATGCTATAGGTTTATAAAAAGCAACCTAAACATGTCAAAAACTGGGAAGGGCCTAAGACAACTAAGGGCAAACTACTAAGTTAGCCTGGCAACTTCACAAAAACCAGAGAGTGCATTAGGCTTCTGCAAAAAGTGCAGTTTGTGTTTTACAGCATGGACAGAGTCAGAAGACAGGCATCTGAGCTGCTTAAGACCTGGTTCCCACAGGGTGACACAGAGAGGCCAGATGACACCAGTATGGGCAAGCAGCTCATGTCGGAAAATTCTTTTTAATGCTCAATATTTTGTCTCCTGTTTCTTGACAGGCAGTCTTCCAATGCTACTTACCATACAAGCACCCTCAATACAAAGACAAAGCATGTTCACCAAGAACAGTCACTGCCTGACTTTTCAGAACAAACAGAAAAGCAAGACTCCTAAACACATGTCTCCCATCAATACCGACCCTGTTTCTACACCAGAGTGACTTCTAGAGAACTGAGGCATATACCACTTCATCAGCCACTGTGCCCAACTGACAAGAATTGGCATTAGTTCATTCTATTTGTCTCATATAGTTAAAATTACTAGCAGTACAATGAGGTGAATTTGCAATAGTAAACCCAAGTATGAGGCCAGAATCCCAGATTCAGCAAGAAGAACAATTCTATAAACCTTCAGTGGCTACCTCAGAAAGCCACATGGAATCTTGGCAGTGACTCACGACACTTGTAAATACCATTCACCAGAGGCAACATAGCATCAGTCACTTCAGCTAAAGTCAAAGAAAACAAGTGGATGGTTTTACTGTAGGAATAGCAAGGTATGCAGACACCACCATTCACATTCCTCTAGAAAGCCCTCCCTGAGTAAAAAAGGCAGCTTCAGTCTCGAGAGCTCTCCATGGTTGTCTGAGGGCCTCATAATCTACCAGTGGTGTTTCTTTGAATTCTTAAAAATTGATCATTATCATTCATCACCAGTGTGTTAGTCATGTTTCTGAAAGAAAGGAAAATTAATACCTGGTTCCCATACAAGCAGCATAGTCTAGGACACACCCCACAATAGTGCTCCCAAAAAGGAAGTAGTCCTCATGACTGCTGGTTTCCGAGAAATGGCATCAGCATCAGTGGCGTCCGCAAGTTGACTACACTTCCTCTAAGACTGTCTGGTCAGGTAGTAAACATCAGGATAGCTTCTCAGTCAACTCAAATAACTGAATCCACTCCTGGTTTTTGAAGAGCCAGCCAATATAACCCGTCTCATATGTACGTGCCGTCAGCAGGATGGGACAACTGAGAAACAACGTGAGAATGGAGAAACCAAGGACATCTGGACGTAATAACATGTCTCTGTGTGAGAAAGGGCAGGCTCTGCTGAACAGTTCAGAAGGCTCTGATGAACGAAGATCAAATTATGTTCCAAGTCACCTGACAGGAGAGCAGGCAGGAAAATCTAAAGCACTCGCAACCATCAGGAGAACATCACAAGGGCATTTTTTCAGTGAAGAGCCTTTCACAGATTGCTCTGAACATCAGAGTCCATCTGTGTCTTTCTGTCTACAACTTCCCTAGTCTACAAGTTCCTATGTTTAGACAGCAATGTTCTAGTACTCCTCCTCTACAAACCAGCGTGTCCTTTCCCATTAGTTAGAATGTCACCTGTTTAAATGATCTCCCACATTCATCCAGTCTTCTTACCCAGAAAGGTCAGATGCAGGAGGGATAAGGACATTCCTATAAAACTTAGAAAGACTCTTTATACTCCCCTTTTTTTTGCCAGGGTGGGTCAAGGTAGGGCTTCTCAGCCAGTAATGTACTCAACCAAACGGTTTAGATTTTTCTGATTTAGAAAAAGTGTTAGCGAATTTTCTACAATGGTCCAAATTATTTTGGACTTTGACAACTTTGCTGCAACTACTTGACTTTTTTGTAACATGAAACAACAACAACAAAACCCAATAAGAACTGTGGGAGGTGATGTATGCTGTGAACATGTTTTATTGCTATTAGTTAATAAAGAAGCTTCTTTCAGCCAATGGCTTAACAGAATATAGCTATGATGAAAGAGATATGTATAGAGAGTAGGCAGAGTCAGAGAGAAGCCATGTAGCCACCTACAGGAGACAGCCGCCTCCGATGGAGCCCACCGGAACCTTGCCCGTAAGCCAGTCATGTGGCAATACACAGATTAATAGAAATGGGTTAATTTAAAATATGAGTTAGCCACATATATGTTTAAGCTACTGGTCAAACAGTATTGCAATTAATACACATTTCTGTGTGATTATTTCAGGAATCTGGATGGCCAGGAAACAAACAAGCGGCCTTCACTCACCAGGTAAAATAACGTATGGCTATGTTCTAATAAAACTTTATTAACAAAATCAGACAAAGGACCAGATTTGGCTCATGGGCCATGGTTTGTCAATCTTGGCCTAGAGTTACAACAGTGCCCTCCCAAAAAAAAAAAAAAAAAAATAAAGTTTAACCCTGGCCAAACACGCACACAGAGTTATATCAATATAGCCAATCCAGGCATGCTGTTTGGAAAGGGAGGGAGAGAGAGAAAGAGAGAATGAGACAGAATTGTACACAGGATGATTCACAGGAGCAGGTTCTCTGTTTTTACCATATAAGCTTGGGGGATCAAACTCAGGTCATTAAGCTCAGCTGCAAGCATTTTCTCCCACTGAGTCATTTTACTGGTCCTAGAATCCTCAGTTTTTGAACAGCATAACATCAATACCATTTTAAAAATCATTAACCACAAAAAGGCCAAAAAAGAGAAGATACCTTTCTGGGGACAGCAGTATTCAATGATCAATTCTACTGACACCCTGATCCTGGACTTCCAGCCTCTAGAGCTGTGGGAAAATGCTTTTCTATCATTCAAGCCACCTACTACATGATGCAATTGTCCCCCATGGATGCTAAAGACTTGGCCACTCTCTACTAGGATAGTCCCATCTTGCAGTAGGTTATCAGAGATTCACAAACCAGAAGAGCTTGGCAGAACCTGCATGTCAAATGGAAATGGCCCACAGAGGAGCACAGCCAGCCTCTGGCCCAAGAGTCATCACAGCTTTACCCCAGGCCACAGCAGCCATACAACTATCCCTTCCTGTTACCTTACACATTTATCAAAAGTAATACAACAACAACAACAAAATAAACCCTAGCCATTACATTTATTTTAAAAAGTTTCAAATTACCTGATTTAAAGCACTATCAAATAGAAATTATGAAGTGTTAAAAAGACTTCTACATGATCAATAAACATAAGAGTAATTCCAGAAACAAATATATATATACCTATGAAATAGACATGGGCCATCTCTTTAATACCTAATGCTACAGCAATGGAAAAGCCTTATGCAAAAAAGAACCACTGAACCAGTCATCATCATACCTTATGACAATAAGTTCCAAACCTTAATGTAAAACCTAATACTTCTAAGCCATAGGAAAAAAAATGATGACTTTGGATTACAAAAAGGTTTCCTAGGTTGGATGAAAATAATTAAAACAGACATAACACATTTCATCAAAAATTAAAAGCTATACTTAGAGAAACAGTACCAAGAAAATGAAAAGACAAATAAATACAGAAAAGATGAGAATGAGAGCCAGGAAGGTCTGCGTCTTAGTGTGTCTGAACACTGTTCCTGACATAGCACTTTAAAAGAGCAGAGATGGGCAAGTGCCTGGAGAACATGAGGAACTCACAGAGCCAGAGAATTCCCAAGTTCTGAGGAAGGCAGGAGGCCACTGGTGAGTGACGTACCATCAGCATACAATTCTGCAGGTCCACTGTAACCTGCATGGCCCTCTATCCACAAAGGGCTGTGATGAAAATGAGTCTGTGTTCAGGGCAATGGTTTTTGGATTTGTTTGGGGGTGGGGGGATGAGATGAAATTTTACTCCTTGTCGCCTATGGTAGTTTTCCATTCCATCTTTAGCTTCATGTACTCTGGGACTCTTGTTACATGTATATATGGTCTCAATCATTTTGTCGTCTTGATAGTTTGACCTTTTTGAGCATCAGAAATGTCTTTGGCTCTGTTACGCTTTTTACCTTCAAGTCTATCTTGTCAACATTAGCATTATGTTAGCCTCGTTCAGGACATCTATGGCATATCTTTTTTCTGTTCTTTTGATTTCAATATATTGGTGTCTTGGAATCAAAAATTTGTTTTTTGTAGACAAAGCACAGGGGCACAGTACATTTTTTTTTTTTTTAAATCAATCCATCCAGCAGGAGTCTATATTCTGATTGGGTTGTATAACCCAATCCTATAATCATTCATAAAGCAGAATTTGTATGTCCCTTTTTTTTTTTTTTTGGTCATTTCTCTGTCTTCTTTGGTGTTATCCAAATACCTTCTATTGTAGCATTTTAATCCACTTTGAAGTTGTTCTACTTATCTTAAAACATCATTATTATCATCATCATCATCATTTTAAACACAAGATCTCATGTAGCCCAGGCTGGCCTCAAACTTGATACAAAGCTGACCTGGAACTTCTGATCTTTCTGCTTTGTATAAAACATTGCTAATGAGGCGAGGAAAGTGAATTCTGAATGGCCTCTGGATTTAGCAGTATGGAGGCTGTCAAAGAAGGCTGGAAATGGAAGATAAAGAAACAAATTGCAAGATGACATCACTACTAAGAAAGAGAGAAGGAAGATCACCTGTGGCTAGAGAGGCTGCCCCTGTACATCAAAGACAAAACAATAAAGACCTAACTAAAAGGGGAAAGGCTGCCTGTGTGAGATAAAGAAGGACAGAAGAAGGTAGCTCCAGACAATGGGGCAGGAATGATGCTGAAGGAGAAATTCACCTTAGACACGAAGAAGGATATTTCTTTGTTAGTCAATTTGTGCTTAGCAAATTATCACACTGTCAAAAAAAATATCATGGACATAGAAATGAGATCTACATGTAACTAGTTATTGCACCAGGACTCCAGTTCCACAGTGAAACTACACAGACAAGAAACACAGCAGAGGTCTTTGCTTTACACCTGGATTATTAGTCTCTTCCATCTGTCAGAAAGCACAAATGTCTTGCATAGAAGCAGCTACACAGAATGCTCATTTCTCAGGCCCAAGCTCACACATTGCCGAGTATGAGAACTCACCTGTGAGATGCTTCCCAAGCTTCTTCTTCTTCCAGAAGGTCTCTTATGATGTCCGAACTGGAACTAAAAGGACATGTATCAGCAATGCTACACTATGAGGTCTGTCCTGACCCAAACATGAGCACTGGGGAGCTAGGGTCAGTGGGGGAGGACAAAGAGGCACAAAGGGATACAGAAGAATAGGCATATTCACTGTCCACACTGTAAGATGGTTTTGTGGTCACATACCTATGTGGAACTTCATCAAATTGGGTTCCGTAAATATTTACAATTATATGTCAACTAAATTTCAAAAAAGCTATAAAAACTTTAATGAGTTAGCAGTGATAAAAACAATGAAGAAAGTGTAAATAAACTCTTGACATAAACCTGAGTCTAGACAGATCAATGACATGCTTCTTAATCTTTTATGTCAATCAAAGATCAAATTATAATTTTTTTAGTTCCCAGCTCTATCAAAAAGAAAAAGAGAAAGAGATTGTGTTTTAAAAGTTAAATTCTGGTGATGAGATCCACATGCAGTAGCTAAGTGGCTTTTAGTCTCTTGGTAACCAACATAAAGTAAAGCATAATGCATCTGAGCAGTGCTAACAATGGAAATGTGTTATAAAAATGTGATCTAGCTTAAAATGCTACACTCTCTAGTGGTGCATGGAAAACAAGGTCATAGAGAGCAAAAATTATTCCTCTAAAAGAAAAAACTGAAGGTTTTAGCATCTTGTTCTTATAATCAACAAAAATTATTTTAGAAAGGCTGTGTGTCCAACAGTATCAAACACACTTCTCTACACATTCTACATGGAATGTCATGGGAACCATATGGCACTCAAAAACAAATGTCACCTAGCAGAAAGAGGAGAAAGCTAAGGTGAGAAACAGCTGGGTTGAAAATACTAAGTGTGAATAATATCTCTAATGATACACTAATAAATAACAAAAGCTTTAAATTATGGAGATTTAAAGTGTCAATGAAGTACTTTCAACCATTTCTGACAAACCACACTGAAGCAGTATTTGCCCATGATGCCTAGGCAAAAGAGGCCACAGAAATCATCAAACAGAGCTTTGGACCACATGTTCCACTCAGTGTATTTCCCCAAGTCCTCTAGATTCCCAAGGAGCCTCATGCAGGATCTAGGTGGAGAGGTTGTCCAGTCACACTACAAGTGTAACCCCGTACTTCTAGTACATCCCCTGAGATTCTGAGAACAAGGAACTCACTGGTAATAATAACTTCTGGTATTTGTGGCTTGAAAAATATCCATAATAATAATATGGATGTGAATTCAATAATACTTTAGTTGTGTTTATTTGCAGAGCAGTACACACATATGATTTTTTAAAATGGTAGGACACTATCTTGTCTATGTCCACAGTCAATTCACTCATCTATGTATGCACTGCAATTATTCCTTTAGGTCCCTGTATTGGGAACCATGACCCAGCCTGCCACAGTACCCACGTATGCACTGCTGTTTCCCACTGAGAAATGGCCCTTCTCAAAAGCTGGAACAGTAACACTTCATCAGTCAATTTCACCCAACACTGGTTTGTAACAAACCTTTCCTATTAAATAGCTACTGAAATGGAGCTTTTATTAGAAGAAGAAAGCCCTGCAGGTCAGTTAGCTGATTTCACTAACTTTATTACTCTCTGGGAGGCAGACCCACACAGTCTCTCACTGGGGAGGGCTCATGGCCACTGCCACTGCCATTCCCAAAGAAGCAGTTTTAAACCTTTCTGGTCCTGAAATCTCAACTCTGGCTCCTCCTTATTTTGCAGTAACTGTTCTAATTGCAGAAGAAACCTGCAGTTATTTACTCTTTAATGCTCCCTGACAACAATCTAACAGTATTTCTGGAGACACTTGACGATATTTCTGGCCAGTGTCACATGGTCAGAAGAAAGAATAAAGTCTGCCACTTGTCCAATACCCTCACCCACCACCAAAAACACTTTAAATGACTTAAAAAAAAAAAAAAAAAGATAACAGCCAGGCATGGTGGCACGCACCTTTAATCCCAGCAATGTCAAGTCAGAGGCAGGTGGATCTCTCTGAGTTAGAGGCCAGCCTGGTCTACAAAACAAGTTCCAGTTTCAGTCTTGTCCAGAAGCTGGTAGTCTGTGATCAGTTTTCCTAGGTGCTTCCAAATCAAGCAGCACAGTCACAGTTTGTTAAAGGGAACATGTGCAGTGCACAAGGCACACACTTGAGAGGCTTCTCAAAAATACCTCAGTGGAAACAGATCGCAGACTCACAAAGCACACTAATCTGCTTTCTCTTGTCTTCGGTACTGATGCCCAACCATGCTGGCAATTCCCCGATGTCCTCAGTCTTCATTTCTTTCCACTACATCTTAGACCCTCACGAGAATGATCACAAAATCAAAACCTAACTGATCCAAAACCAAGGAAGTGCCGCGTTCATAGCTATGAAGTTGCAGGATCTATGGTACATCTGCTACTTCAATTTTTGTCAACACTGAATGTAAGAGTTGACAGGAACACATGGCAATACCAGACAGAACTGTTCAAACCTGTCTAAAGTAATGCATTCACTGTGTCCTTCTCAAAAGCCAGATGTTAGAAACTAAGCATTCAGTCTCATAATTAGGATTTTACAAAGGAAAGCTATCACACAAAAGTTAATGTTACTAAAATTATAACTCAAAGATTTCTTTAAACAGAAGCATTTAACATTTTTGAAATTTTAGTCATTTTTATACGGCTTGAAGATCAAAAAAATTCTAATGCTGTTAAGACATCTAAAAAAAGTCTTAGGAAAAATTAAATTACTCACTCTGATATACCCAGGGTCAGGCAATCCCACACAAACATAACTTTTACATCTAGAGCAAGAAACTTGTGCATAAACTTCAGCATCTCTACTAGCTAGGTTTGTAACATTTGGAAGACTATAATTTAAGAAGCTGGATAAGCAGGAGGTCTGGCACATGAAAGCTACAGCATTACTATGGAAGAATATTGAGATTGTGTCCTCTGATGTGACCACTATCCAGCTATTGTGGACATTATTATATAAATTACATGTGAGAAAGTCCCACTGACAATTATATGAATCTTTTATATTCTGAATTCCCAACCTGAGTTCTGGAAGATTCTAGTAGGCTTAACTTTCCATCACTTAAACCTTATTTTCAGCTCACTCTTAAGAAAGATGAGCTAATGCACATGCACCTTGGATAGCTGAGAATTTCATTCTTGCTCTCTGAACATTACTTCTAAAGAAAAGGCTATTTGCATATTCCTTTCCTAGCATACAATTTCATCTAACAGTAAAGATTTTACTGCCTAACTGACAAGATGTCAAATTCTCCTGTGAAGCTAGGGGGTAGAGGGCATGCCAGATTTCAATGGCAGCATTGCAAAAATGGACTCCTGTTCCTGCCATTTAATGTTGAACTTTAGGTGAGTTCTAGAACCTTTCTAAACCTCCAAGCCCGTATCTCTAGTCAGGTCATGTATTTTCCAGGGATATATTTAAGATGAATCAATACAGTACACTAAATGTTAAGCACAGAGGTTGGCACATAGTAAATGTTCAATCAATATTGCCGCCACTTTCATAAAACAGGTTTGAATCTGGATTTTCTAAATAACTGTCACAGCACTGCTTCAATTTGCCCCAGGAAACCTGATCACTATATGCACCACTTTAATCTTTGATTCCCACTGTTTCTATGACACCAGGTGCAAAATCATCAGAGCCTGTTATTTGTCCGGCTTGGCAGGTACTCAAGGTACTGCACAGTAGGAAAAATACAAACGTTTGCTATAAAAATCCTGTGGATTAAAGATTACTTACAAGTGGAATTTCCTAAAATCTAATACTTACCTGCTTCCAAGTGTCTTCACTGTGGCAATAATTTGAATGTGGTTGAGGACATGCAATATTAAAATAAAAACCAACCTCCTTTAGCACAAATCACCAGTGTTGATTAAAAGGGTATAAAACCTGTCAGACAATGATCCTTCAGTACACGCTGCCTGCTAGCATGAATCCTTCCACAAAGCATGATTTCTAGTGATCCGCTCTGTAGGGTGAGTCAATAGCTTATACGCTAAATACTCTAGTAGCAGGCTAACAGTAACATAATCAAATAGTCAACATTCATAGATTTTTACAAAAATCACTCAATGATGACAAAGGTTGCCATTTTTCTGAGTAACTACTCTTACCAACCACTTTGATAATTAATTACCTTATACACACTAACTTTAATTCAGACCTGTTCTAGGTCTCTTACCATTTGCAAAATGGACACAGGCTCAGAAAGATTAAAGCAGGAAAAAACAAACAAACAAACAGAAATGCCAGGATCATCTTCTTTCCGTCAACCATGCTGCTTCAGCCAGTGGAAGCAGAAACTTAAACACTATTCATCTGCAAGTGTTAACAATGCCTCCCCTATATTCCTATCAGTAAGGTTTTTACCAGACAACCAACTACAAGCTTCATGGATAAAGAAAGCATGAGCTCCAGGAGATGTAGAAAACTAAGATGACAGGCCTTTGATGACAAGTAAGCATGTATTTATCCAATCAGAAATAAATCTCATATTTAGTTTACAAAGTAGTCCCAATACATGACCAAGTAACCTAGGAAGGCTAGCAAAGCAAAATCAAATTTCATTTAATCAACGAGTGAAAGAAACTCAACCACTTTCTACATGCACAGTCAACGGCTGAGATAACTCCTACAATGGAACAAAGACAACTGTCAGGTACATGGATTTCATGGAAGCAAAGGAAAGTCACAGACTTGATGTGACTGCATCTTGTACAAAGATTTCCTCCAAACTAAAAGAGAGTCTAGCTTACTTATCACCCAGTGATAACTTTTTAAAGCACAAATAATACTAGAAAATTATTCCACATTTTTATTTTTATTTTCTAGAAATTTTCAAACAACAAAATTCACTAGGTGAATAACTGAACCATTTAGCTTCCAGAAGTACTCTAAAGTTATACATATTGTACCCTCAAAACTGCTATAGCAAAACATCAAACAAAGCATATTAGTAACAAAGAAATTATGGCAG